CCCCCCCCCCCCCCCAGGCCAGACGGCCCTGTACCTGCCTTGGCCTTCAGAATAAAACCCCCATTCATGTTGTGTGGCCTGCCCCTTCTCTGATGTTTTCTTCCTTTCCACCCCTTGCTGGCTGTCTTCTCGGCCACTCACAGTTCCTCAATCTGGCCGGGCTCCTCTGGTCTCGGCCTTTACAGGTGCTGTGCCCACTGCCTGCCCTTCCCTAGCTCGCCCCGCGGCTCCTTGCCAGGCCTTAGCTAGTGTGTCACTTCCCCAGGCAGGATCCCCCACCCTCCCTGGCTGTGTCACCTTCAGCCCCTCTCTCCCTCAGCCCCGTTATATCCCTCAGGGCACACAGCACCATGGACAGTTCTGTGTTTCTGCATGTGCCTCTCGGTGACCCCGCAGGCCTGGGAATTGGGCTGGCTCTGCCTGGCGGGCTGCTGTGTCCCCAGTTCCCAGCACACTCCCCGCTTCCCATGCCCTGGAGGATGTAGGTCCCAGCCCCTGCACTCCTGCCCTCAGGTACTACCGCATCGCAGCCTTCGGCCACCACGCCTACAGCATGCGCCCGTCAGACGTGCTCTACGACTGCCTGCCCCTGTATCACTCCGCAGGTACCCGGGGGTGCTGGGGACGGGGGGACAGGACGGGGCCGGGAGCCCCTCACCAAGCTTGCCTTCTGCAGGGAACATCATGGGCGTGGGACAGTGTCTCCTCTACGGGATGACGGTGGTCCTCCGCAAGAAGTTCTCAGCCAGCCGCTTCTGGGACGACTGCGTCAAGCACAACTGCACGGTCAGCCCGCCCTCCCGCGGTCCTCCACCGCGGCGGCCCCCTCTCCCACCCCCTCCAGGGCTCCTGATGGGGACAGAGGGTGACCAGCGTTTCTTAGATCTGTGTCCAGCCCAGGGCTAACCCTTTGCCCACCCTGGGAGTGGGCAAAGACTTCACACCCATTTTGCACATGGGGATTGCACATGGGGAAACGAAGGCTTGCAGTGTAACTGCAATTGGGCCCCACTTCCCTGTGCCCTGGGCCCTCCTTCCCTCTCGGGTCTCCCCTACAGGCTCTGAATGGAAATGAGACCAGCAGGCTCAGTCACCACCCTGGGCTATTTAACATTTAAGGCCACAAGGCGTGGGACTTCCAGGTGGGGTGCGCATGAGGCAGAGGTGGAGGACATTTTCTGTTCCTGACAGCAGGCGGGCTAAGACACATCCCTTCCCCCCACCCCCCCAGGAGGAGGGTTTCACCACTGTGATGGGGTGGAAATACAGATACTGGCCCCTTTCTCCAAGAAGAAGGAGGGGGAGCGAGGAGGGGGAGAGAATGGGGCTGCAAGTTGGCAGGTGCTATCCCACAGTGGACAGGTGTTCAGCCACCATCCCAGGTCACAGAGCTGGGCAGGGGCTCTCGGCAGGGCATCCTGGGGACCCCGTGGGGCAATGACTGTACTCTCTGCTTTTGAGAATTTACGTTCTGCTTGGGCTGAGGTCTTGGGGGACGTTGCTAATCTGAATCTTGAAATGCAGGCAGCCTGGGTTTTTATCTTACTTACTGAGAGTTGCAAATGCATATAAATGTGGACAGGAAAGTCTGAGGGATTCCTGAGCACCTGTCACTGCCTCCCCGCCCCCACCCAGATCCCAGACCCCAGTCCCTCCTGCAGCATGTGAAGCAGACAGACAACAGCAT